GAAAATACTCTACCAAACGCATATCAAATGCGTTTCCTTCACGCTCCGTTAAAATTTACGGATTTAGAAACGGAGGGGGCAATGGAGTAGGATTTTAGAATTAGTGGGGGGGATGGAGTAAGTTTTAGAAGCAGAGGGGGCACCGGTGAACATTTAGGAAATCACAGGGGGGAACGGTGCATTAAACTCGGATATTATGTATGCACAGCAATAATTAATATGAAGAGGAATGCCTTTTCCATATCTAACTTTATAAAACATTGCCACCCCAAACATTTCTTGACCAAGCAATGGATCATTTCTTTTGACATAAGAATTTTTTCCGCATTTGATTTGCTTTTTTGGAAAGCAGCTTGCTCATTTATTGGAAGTATTTTTTTGGTAAAATAGATCAAAGTCTCATGGCAAGAACTTTGGTATTTATTCAATTTACACATAAGAGTGGACAAAGACTCCAAAGAATTCACTTCTTGATGATGTTATTTTCGATATGACAGATGAATAGAACTTAAGGATCACTAGGCTAGATTATAAGACACTTGAATTGAATCACATTAAAAGATTGAGTTTCGATTAGCCGTTCAACTCAAGAGTTCTTACAAACCTATTTATTTATATCTCCAAAGTCGATGCGGCCGTGATACCCTTCTAACACCCTCCCCCCCCCCCCCTTCAAGGGTAAAATGTAAATTATTATTACCCAAATCAGAACGGTACATCAATGTCAAATGCCGAACCATAAATATGGTTCCATGCATATATAAGACAACAAACATCAACAGCAAAACCAAAGATAATACAACACGCAACATGCATAGAATTGGCATGCAAGCCATACAAAATAAATAACCATCACTTAAACATCAATGTGGTGTCCCACTTCATCATAGGGGACAAACAACCCGACTCTTGTGGAATCCACTTCCGGCTACAAGTACCATGCATCATCCCGGAAATAGTACGGTAGGCAAACCAAGAGTATGGAGGGAGCATATACTGGTCACCACCCATATATACTCCCACCCCAAGGATCTAGTACGACAAACGCTCAATCACGATTCAAAGCAACCGTAATTCAAAATCAGGTCCAAAGTTCTTCATCCAAGCACATGCAACCAACAGAGGTGAGTGAAATGTTAATCTTACCATAGTCACCATCATCCATCAATGAGGTTGAGGCTTTCCACCGGCATGCCAAGAGGCCAATCCCCGAGTGCCAGTAGCTGTCCACCCTTGTCAAGGCAGACAACTTAACCTCCAAAATGACCCGAGAGACGCACATTCTGCCATACAAACCCCTCCCTAGGTCTATGGCCAGAGTTCCCCCAAGGTATTTGGCAAGCGTCCCCATAAAGACTAGGCGCAAGTTCACCAGGTTGTCCCGTAAGCCTTCATCCACAATTGCCCTCGGTTTGAGTTCAAAAGCAAGACGTAGATAGGCAGGATCCAGCGAAAACAACCTCCCAAACGCGAGAAAAGAAGCACAGTCAGCTACAAGCTCCACTTGTTGGCCGAGATAACCCAAGCTCCTCCAAATACCCCAACCGAAAGGGTCAAGAAGAGACAAAAGGCGGCCTGCCAGCAGGACCCAATTGGCAAAAATAAACATATAGCTCACCTCAAAATCAATTGGTATTACCTCCAAGAATGAGGTAAAACCGAGGGCCACCAATAGGAAACACAACTGGTCCCTCAATCTTCCGTTGAAGCATCCAATTGCCAAGAGTTCAGCTCGAATTTTCAACCCACACGTTACCCAAATCAGAGTCAAAATTGGAATACAAAATCAGCCCAAAAACAGCAATTTACTTGCCAAATAAATAATGGGCAGCAAGCCTGTAATCCAGCCCATATTGCTTGTGCCAATAGACCATATTGTTCCAAGTAGTCCAAAACAGCCCTACAGAATGGTCCAAAACAGCCCTGCAAAATGGTCATTTCATTCATGAAGCCCAATGCATCACCCATCCCCTGTCCAGCTCACACAAAAGGATTGTTCAAACAGCCCTGGAATCACCCAGCATCTTCCCACTGTCAACTGACAAATGCAGTATGAAAAGGAATGGACAGCTAAACAATATGTTATGGAGTCAATATGTCACGTTCAACATGAAGCTAGACCCATTAAGAAACTACTGCCTAGTTACTGCCCAATTGCAGTAAATTTGTAGTTCCATGGCCTTAGAACTAGTTTATTTTGAATGTAACTAGTATCTCGTCGAATATTATTTGTCAAGTTTGACTTTTTCGAGTCAAATTGGACAAATTTTGAACTCCAATTACTCTCCATTTGTATTAAATATTAGAGGAAAAATTACCCAAAATAATCCCAACTTTACCCTGTCTTTCAAAAATAATCCCACCTTTCACTGTGATGCATAATAATCCCAACTTTATTGAAATTTGCCAATTTTGGGTCGCCGTTAAATTTCTAACGGAAAGTTAACGGAAATGCCCGTTTTAGACAACAAAATGAAAGTTGGGATTATTTTTGATGAATTTTTGTTTTTTAATTTTTTTTTGAAATTTTTTATTTAAATTTTTTGAATTACTTT